TTTCTCAGTCCCTTTGTTTTGCGAACCGCCGGCAGTGTGTTCGGGCCCTAAGCAATGCCGCCCGCTCCTCTCCGTCCCGCCCCCGCTTGTTGCTGGCGGGTACGGGCGTCTGGGGTACTTTTCTGCTGGGAGTTGCTTTTAGGCACGTAATCTGTGGGCCTTGTTTAATTTTTCCTCCCAGTTAGATTGCTGAAAACTTCCCCCAGTCCCGCCAGTGCGAGGGTTTCCTGGTGATTGGAAACTTCCTCTATTAAGACTCCCCTCCCGGGACGGGTCTCCGTCCGTAGCTCTTTTGACTCCCTTTTATATTTTGTCCTACCTCCCTTCGAAGACAATGGGCTGCTTTTCTGGGCGCCTGATGTCCTCTGCTAGCGATCAGAAGTTGTTTTGTGCAATTTGCTCAGCATTCAAATGTTCTTTCGATGAATTTGTAGGAGAGAAAGTGGTCTCCCCGTCCTATTCCTCCGCCATCTTGGCTCCTTCCCAATGGAGTTACTTTTTCTGTATGAGGATAGGGAATGTCACAGTTTCATTCACTGTTATGTTATTTGTTGTTATCTTGTTACCCTCTCCTCTGTATCGACTCTTAACAATTTAACTTGGTAGCATCCGTGCAGGAGAATTCCCTTTTCTCCAAAACCTTCCAGCATTTATTGTTTGTAAACTTTTTGACAAAGGTCATTTTGACCCGTGTTAGGCAATACCTCGGAGTTTTGATTTGCATTTTGGTAAGATTGCAGGATGCGGAGGCTTTGCGTGTGATTAAAAAAAAGAAGCGTGAGTAAAACTGACCTATTGAGACTGGCTTCTGACCGTCAGGCCTCTTTGGACTTTTTCCAGGACCCATCCGAGGACATTCATTGAGGACAGGTGTGTTTTCGTTAAATTCCTGCAGGCCTGGTAAATAATGAAGTGCCCTTCCGCACAGGTTTCTCAGTTGCTGTTGCCAGACGTGGCCACAGGGCGGCAGCATTTCCTCATGCGCCACTTTTTTTTTTTTTTTTTTTTTTTAATTTAGTGTTTGTTTTCTGTTGGAATACAGATTTCTGGAATCTGGAATATTTCTGTTAGAATTCCTGTTGTGCTTGTTTTAGGTTTACAAGAACCTGATTCAGTTATACGTAGATGTATATCTATTCTCTTCTTTTAAGGTTTTTTTTTTTTCCCATATAGGTTCTTTCAGGGTTTTCATTACGCTTCCGTGCTATTCAGTAGGGTTTTTTTTTTTTTTAATCTGTCTGATAATAAGTAGTAGATATATGTTAATTCCAGCCTCTTAATGTCTCCCTGCCCTTACGTTTTTTGAAATAATCATAGGTGGGTTTTATTAGTCTGAGTCTATTTCTGTTTATAAATCTGTTGACTTGAAAGAATTTATAGATTCCACCTGTAAGTGATATAATATTTCCCTTTCCCTCTCTGACTTCTCTCAGTAGGATAAATCTCTTGGTCCATCCATGCCATTAATGGCATTTTGTTGTTGTGGATTTTTCTGATGGCTGAGTGTATTCCAGTGTCTAGATGGATCAGTTACTCTTCATTTCTCTCTATTGATGGACATTTTGCTTGAAGTGCTGTCTTGGAATTGGTGAATAGTGCTGCCATGAAAACAGAGGAGAAAGTATCACTTTAAATTATGATTTTATCCAGATCTAAGGGAAGGAGTGGGCTTGCCTCATCAAGTGCTAACTATATTTAGTGCTTTAAGGAATCTCCATACTGTTTTTTGCCGCACCCTCTCATTTCCATCCCTGCCCACAGTATAGGAGGGGTCCCTGCTCCCCTTGCCCTCGGAAGCACTGAATCTTTGTAGATCTTTTAGAGGATGGTCATTCTGAGGGGGGTGAGCTGATAACGCTTTGCAGTTTGATTGGCATTTCTCTAACAGTGATGCTGAGCATCTTTTCACGGGCTTTATGGCCATCTCGATGCCTTCTTTGAAGATACATCCATTTAGATCTTTGGCCCATTTTTTCTCTTGGATTGACTGTTTTTTGATATTGAGCTGCAAGACCTGTTTGCATGTTTTGGAGATGAGTATGTTGCTTTTAAATTCGGTTGCATTTTCCCCCTGATGTTCAGGGTTTTCTTTTCCTTTCATTTTGAGTTTCCCTTGCTATGCAAAAGCTTTTGAAGTTAATGAAGTCCCTTTTGTTGAGTTTTAGTTTTCATTATTTTAAGAGTGGATCCAAAAAGAATTTGCTGCGATTTGTGTCAAACCGTGTTCTGCCTATATTTTGCTTAAGAGGGTTAGAGTAATCGTCCCTCAATTTAGAACTTTAATCGATTTGAAATGTCTTTTTCTGTAATTGGTTAGGGACTGTCGGTTTCATCATTTTTCACTTAAGGAACCTTCACCCTGTCCTCCACACTGGTTGTTAGCACTTTCCCAGCATCAGTGTAGAAAGGTTCCCTTTTCTCCACAACTGCTCCAGCATTTACTGTTTGTAGACTCTTTGACAAAGGCCATTTAACCAATGTGAGGAGATACTTCCTTGTAGTTTTTATTTCGGTTTCTACAAGATTTCATGATGTGAAGGCCGTTCATGTGATTTTTTTTAAACAGTGTGAGTAAAACTGACCTCTCAAGGTTGGCCTCTGGACCATCTGCTCTGTTTTAAATTCTTTCCCCAGGACCTACGAGGGCATGAGTTGAGGACAGGTGTTTTTTCCTTACATTCGAGCAGGCCTGATGAATAGTTAAGTGCCCATCAGCGCAGGTTTTTCAGTTGCTGTTACCAAAAGTGGCCACAAGGTGGCAGCGTTTCTTCATGCCCACCAGCGCCTTAGCACAAGTCCTGTTCTGGGTTGTTAATTAGAATGGATACACCCAAGGCCGTGTGTCCTTACTTCTTCTCCCTGAGCCTTTATCCCCGGACAGATCTCAACGATTGCCACACCCCTCTGCAGAAGGAGCTGTCCTCTGTCAGTGGGGTGACCCTAAGGAAGGAGGCTGGAGGTGGGAACCCCGCCACCAGGAGCCACAGAGCCCAGGGCACTTTGCAAAGCTCTTCCAGCCCAGAGAGACCCCACCATCCTACGGGGGCACCAGGATTGGTTCTGCTGCAGGAGGGTCCCCTGATCTGGAGACTGTGGGCTCATGCAGACGGGAACAGGCGGTCCAGGTCCATGGCGTGGGGGGCTGTTTACTTGTTATCTTGCCTCCTCTGCCCATTAGAACTGGAGCCTTGAACAAAGCGCCCAAACTCTCTGTGGCTCCATTTGCTCACCCGTAGAGTGGAGGTGATGCTGATAAATGTCACTTACTCTGTAGGGAGACTGGAGGGTCACCCAGGTTAGAATGGTGGCTACTGGCACAGAGTAAGTGCTCAGTCAGTGTTGGCCGATCCTGCATCCCTGAAATTCGCTCCAACTCTGATCTGAGGATTCTCGGGGGCTTCATAAAGGAGAGAGTTTGGACTTGGGAGGTTAGGGAGACTTCATCTGACTAATGTGAGCATGGCAACACACGCTGAAGAGGACATTTCTATGACAGGCACCCCCCCCCCAAGCAGAGGCATAGAAGTGGGGAGACTTGGGGAGAGCAACGGCCCCCTGCTGCACTCACAGGGTGCCTGGACGTGGACTTCTTCATACAAGGTGACCTGGGTGGCGGAGTTCTCCGCGATGCACCTGTATCTGCCCATCTGGTCCCAGATCAGACTCGGGAGGGTGATGTTCTTCTCTGAGAAGCTCAGGATGGAGCCATTGTGGATCCAGCGGTACTTGGATTCTGGTCTGGAATAGGAGATGCACTCCATCTCCACCTGGGAGCCGATCTCAGCAGACAGGATGCTGTTGAAGTCAGTGGGACTACTGCTGAGCAGCAGACTGTAGGGCCCATCTGCAGAGACAGGGCAGGACCCCCGGAACCATGCTTCTGACACCTGGGAGTCCCGACTTCTTCCCTCAGTCCACATGAAGTCCTCCCCCAGTCCTGAGATACCCCCACTCTGTACCCCAAGCAAACTCCCAGACCCATCCCAGCTAGCGTAGCTGAGCCAACAACAATGACAGTAACCGTAGCATCTTCTGTTACCAAGAGGTACTACAGCTCAGCTCCCTGGCTGCCCTTCACATAAAATAGGCATAGAGTAGAAGCAGGCATCACACCTACTGCACTCCGGGCACCTTTTAAACATGTCACACATTCACACACTCACTTAATTCCCACACGACCCACGTGATCACAGCCACTCTTGATCCATTTCATGCCTGAGGAGGAGAGGTTTAGGGATTCACGAGTCCCCCTGTTGACCTACAAAAGGACCAGGCAAGTACCCTTATGACCTGGGAGGAATTTCCCTGAACACTTGCAGCCCCGGTGTCTTTGGCTTTGGTTCCAAACCTCTGGCCAGTGAGCAGTGCGGGAGGTCAGAAATGATGAGCCCTTTGTCCACAGCTCTCGGGTTAGGAAATCTGAGACACTGCAAGAGTGGTTCCAGATTTAAATGTGATAACAAGGCTAGACTTGATGTGTTTCCCAGTTGAAAGAGGTGAAAGAGCTGGTCAGTGTGAACAGTCCTGGAATGTTTCAAAGAATCTGAGTTTCACTGCATTTCTTAGTGCCTTGGATTTACAAGAGAATTTGAGCAGGTCTGAATGGGTTGCCAATTTGTGTTGATGGGCAGCGGAAGACTTCAACAGAGTGTCTATAAAACACATAACTTAGCTTGAAAACCAAGCTCTTTAGGGGAGTATAATCAATCCCATCCCAGTAACAGCAAAAGTGAATATGATTTTTACTAAATTTAGAAGAACTGAATAAAATGATCAGGGAGCTGAATTTGAAGACCTGTGCACAGTTGGGCTTTGAAAAATTAAGACTCGAGACAGGTGTCACAAATTCACACTATTTCTAATATGAGAGGTAGGGGTTAGGGCCCCCATTTTAAACAGAGTGGAGACCAGGGTTCTGGGCAGTGAGTAGGGTTCTGAAGCCTAAGGGTTAAATAGCCAAACCTGGGATTCAAACCCAGGGCAGCTGTCTGCAAGGAGGCTCATGCCGCTCTCTCCAGTTCTGCTGGTCTTACTGCTACGCCCTGGGAAAACCCTGAGCCCCACCCCCGGCTTCACTCTCACAACCCCAGAACACTCACAGGCCACTGTCACATAGACGAGGTCACTTTTCTGAATAAGCTCTGGGAGAATTTCTATCCCACACTGAAGTGGTGAGTCTAAGCGGCCGAATATTCGGATGACGAGGGTCTTGTTGTCCGGGGAGATGGTCATCCTGTAATTGCCGGACACCGGTACATAATTCACATACCACTGGATGTGGCTGTCATTGGTGTAGCAAGTGGCAGCCACCGCATCCTCACCATCTACGACGGAGGTGGTGTTGACTGAGATTTGCGGGATTTCCAACTCTGGGTGAAGCAGAGAGGAGAAGGTTAAGGGTTGGATCTGTCTCCCCACGCTCTGCTCCTCTCCAGTGGGGATTTCATGGTATGTTGGGGGAGAAGCCCAGAATTATAAGAAAGGACCTAGGATCCTGGCAAGAGGGCATCCCTAGGGCTGAGAGGGACAGAGAAGCAGGGATGAGCATGAGGCAGTCGAGATGGGGGTTCTCTACTGAGCCTGTCTTCCAATGCTCTGAGCCATCTCTGTGGCTCCATTATAATAACCGTGAGTTCTCACTATTGTCCAGTGGCCTGATGGTTGCTTCTGAACCCCCAAATCAGAACATCCCCATCAAAGGAAGTGCAGATAGAACTCAAAGTGAGAGATGGTGTTTGTTCTACATAACAATTCCTCCCATTAACTATTCCCATTCTCTTTACAAATTTCCGCCTCTAACCTTAAGGCAGACCACAGCGATGGATAATACTGCCATTTTACAGATGAGAAAACTGAGGCTCAAAAGGTGACATGGTATATGAAGAGCCAGTGGTGAACTAAGTTCTTCCAGCCTTCAAAATCCATACTGTCCTGCCCTAGCCCTGTGGAACACCAAGAGCTCATTGACGTAGACAGAATTCCAAGATGGCCCCATGATCTCCACTCCCTGGTATAACCCCTCTATAATCCCATCCCCTCAATGTGAGTGGAGCTCCTGACTTTCTTGTAGCATATTGAATACGGCTAAGGTGATGGGCTGTCTCTCACCGTCATCATTAGCTTTGTTGTATTAGACTCCTCTCTAGACAGAGAGATTTTTGTTGGCCTTGAAGAGGCAAAGAGCCAGGATGTGAAATCCTGTAGACAGAGTCACACATGAGAACATGGCCCTGGCTAACACCCTGTGAGTCTCAGCGCTGGAAATGGCTGAGCCACATCAGAACTTCTGACTCACAGAAGTGGGTGTTCTTTAAAGCTACTAAGTTGGAGGCTATTTGTCATGCAGCAGGAGATAACTAATACACTGAGAGGGAACCTGGAGCCCTTGAAGGTAGTAAGGATCCCATTTCTGGGAAGAAGCTGGGCTACCATCCACCAAGGCTCCCAGGGTCATCTGGAGGTGGGTGGAGGTTAGATGGTGTGAGCTCCAAGGGACACCATCCCCTAAACCCAGTCCAACTCAGCTGCGGTTGGGTGGTGGGGCAGCTGCCCACTCACCTCGAACCTCGAGCCAGCCAGCTGCTCTCTGGGTGTCACTGATGGTGTCCACCCTCACTGTGTAGTTCCCCGTGTCATTTAACTGTGACCTCCAGATCCTCAGGGTACCTCTAATGGACACACTTTCCCGGCCGCTGTACATGGGCCCATCCCGCCTGGAATGAGATGTGGTGTTGTAGCTGATAATCAGATTTTCCTCAGTGTCATTTGCACCCCGGTGCCAGCTGTATTCCTGAACATCTTCAGGGGCATTCTCGACGGCCAGTGAGCTTGAATATCTTTCCACTCCGATGAGTGAATCTGGGGCGATGTAGATTTGGCTGGAGGCCTGGCGGATCCCACAGGCCAGCAGACTGGCTGAGGAAGACAAACAGAAAAGACACACACACATACATACATGCACACAGGTTTACATGCACAGGCCATGATCCACAGAGACCTTGGAAAATGGGTCAAGGGCTTCTAGCTCGTGAAGGACTTGGCAGTCTGTTCCCCTGCTCTCCATCACCTCAGCCCCTGCCCTGGTCCATTCTTTTATCGTCCTGTTCCAGGCTGGCCTCCTCCCTGAACTCCAGTCCATCCTCACACATCAGTTTTGTGGATCCTTATGTAGCCCCACAGGTTACCCTGTTCTCCCTCTGCTCACGTATCTTCCATGGCTCCCCAGTGCTCTCACAATAAGTTCAAACCCTTAGCATAGCTTGTGAGACATGTAGAGACAACTGGTCTCTAGGACCTAATGCAGGCTCTTTTTGAGTCACACCTACCGTACTTTACCATCTTCATTCATTCACCAGAAGACACAGCATCCTAACTGTGTGCCCCAGCCACACACACAGCTCTTCTTGACCTGTCACACATACTCTTCCCTACTTCTAGCCCCCTGATCCCTGCTCCCTCTTCCCCATGTCCATCTTCCTTGTTGATTCACTTCTGTGTCCCCAGCTCCCCGGAGATCAGGGTGGAGCCCAGCAAGAGGGCTCAGAATGGTTATCTAGGGGGGTTAAACTCCCCTGAGAGGATTTACACTGTCTTTGTTTTATCATCTAGGATCAGTGGCACAAACACCAATGGGGGTGTGTATCTGTTATCTCCTAAGTGGAGGCGGGGCAGGTGTCTGCTGCTCTGGGAACCCTAAGCCTTGCCTCCATGGAGGAGGCAAAGACAGCTGAGACCCCCTGCTCCAGGGATCCAGGTGTGGACCCTAGAGGTTTTGGAGGACAGTGTATGTGGCCACCAGGGAAACACGAGAGTGGTCAGTATCAGGAGGAAGCAGAGTGTTTGGGGGGAAAGTGAGGGGTTGGGGGGGGTCCTGCCACAGAGTCAGTGGAGGGCATCAGGGCAGAGGAGGTGAGCCCAGAGGAAGTGATTGCTGGGAATTGTGTGTTGGGGTTCAATTTCATCATGGCTTGTGGTGGGTAGAGATGAATGCTACGTGTGTGTGTGAGTGAGTGTGTGTGTGTGTGTGTGTGTGTGTGTGTGTCTTGAGCAAGCCGTGCCCAGGGGTGTGAGTTCATGAAAGTTCTGCTGAGGGTTCTGGGTCACTCCCTTCTCCCCCACCTCCATCCTGCTAGCCCCACTGTCTTACCCACAAGGACCAGTTCCCTCCAGACTCTGCACCTAGGTCTAGAAAGGTCCATGAGCCGCTCCAGTCCTCCTGCTGGAGGCATCTCTCCAGGGACCCGGCCGTCTTCTGGGCCCTTTTACAGACCTGCGTCCTCTCAGGCCCCAGGTGTGGTCTCCACCCACTTCCTGCTCAGGGATGGACTCTGCACTGCAAGGTGGGAGGGGCTGCGGAAGAGACACTCTGCTGAGTGGGTGATTATCTTTAGGACTGGATACTGCAAGGAAGGACCTTGGACCCATGGCAACTTAGAATGTCAATGATCATTATGAGGAATTTTTGCTATCCCAAACTGACTGTTCTTAAAACTGAATTGGACCACCTGAGGACAAAAAGAGAACAAACAGCATCACTCACCACCTAGTTGTACAAGGCTTCAGTTACTACCTGCTGCAGTCTCCCAGCAACAGTGAACCCTGAGAGGATTTCTGGATGGAAAAACAGGATGAAACACTCTGTGATTTGGAAAACCGGGCCCCTATAGACATGACTCAGGGAGAATCTCATGAATTTTTCTGGTGATGAATTTCATAAATTCTGACTGATGACTTCTGCCTCAGTCACATGCAAGAAAAAAGCACTAAAATCATTAACTTGGTATATCTGTTCTTTGCGATGAGCTGTGATCAGTTACCAAGATGTATGCTCGATGACACATTTTTCCCAGCCCCCAAATTCAAACACACACTGTCTCCTCCCCTTCCTTTTTGGAGCAGTTCCTCAGAGCTGTCTCCCAGGCTACAGTCCTCAGGAAGACCCTGAATAAAACTTAGATGCTCTGTGTTTTGCTTTGAGTGGACAGGCCTTAGTAGAGTCAGCCTAACTTATCACCCCGGTTTCTCCAACTTATCAGTTAGTTCATATGCTTATAAGTGAAGACTTGCCAGTGACTCCAGCACCAGGGTGAAAGCCACTAACTGAGAAATGCCTGAGAGGTCTCTAGGAGCCCAGAGATCAGTCAACTGATTTGTTGTACAATCAGAGTTGGGCAATCACTAGATGACTTTATCATGTGCTTTCTAGGGTTTTTCCAAAGCCTGTTGATTGGACAAAATTCAGGCTTCCACAGAAAAACCTGATGAACCTATTCAGGACTATCACAATCAGCCTCAGATTTGAAAGAATATTCTGATCTTCCTTCAAATGTTGGTTCCAACCAGGTAGCTTGTAACTCTATGGTTGTTAAGAGGCTGAACTGGAACCTCTCTGTCTCATAAGAAGGACCAGGATGGGCTGGGAAATTCTGTTGGAGATTTAGCTAGTCTCTCTATTCCTCCCTCCCTGTTTCCTCTTTTCTTCCTTCCATTCTAACTGCCATGGTGATGAACAAACTTGCTTATATATTTTTGGACACACCCATGAAGAAAGTTCAGAAAAAAGTTTCCGAAATGACATTATGGGGTCTGAACTAACTTCATGATGTTTTAAATTTATTGGGTTGTATTTCCTTTTTTTCAGATTTTTTTTAAAAATTATTTTTTTTTAAGCTGAAGGATAATTGCTTTGCAGAATTGTGTTGGTTTCTGCCAAAGTATTGGGTTGTTTTTTCTAACTATGAGAACAAATTATACACTTTTTTTTTTACTTAATTTTATACTTTATTTTTTTTCCCTTTATTTTTATTAGTTGGAGGCTAATTACTTTACAACATTGCAGTGGTTTTTGTCATACATTGAAATGAATTAGCCATGGATTTACATGTATTCCCCATCCCGGTCCCCCCTCCCACCTCCCTCTCCACCCGATCCCTCTGGGTCTTCCCAGTGTACCAGGCCCGAGCACTTGTCTCATGCATCCAACCTGGGCTGGTGATCTGTTTCACCCTAGATAATATACATGTTTCAATGCTGTTCTCTCGAAGCATCCCACCCTTACCTTCTCCCACAGAGTCCAAAATTTTGTTCTGTACATCTGTGTCTCTTTTTCTGTTTTGCATATAGGGTTATTGTTACCATCTTTCTAAATTCCATATATATGTGTTAGTATACTGTAATGGTCTTTATCTTTCTGGCTTACTTCACTCTGTATAATGGGCTCCAGTTTCATCCATCTCATTAGAACTGACTCAAATGAATTCTTTTTAATGGCTGAGTAATATTCCATGGTGTATACGTACCACAGCTTCCTTATCCATTCGTCTGCTGATGGGCATCTAGATTACTTCCATGTCCTGGCTATTATAAACAGTGCTGTGATGACAAATTATACACTTTGTGATGGAAAAAAAACCCACTCAGAATATACAGTAAAGTACAAAGAAGGAAACTAAGAACTGCTGATAGTTAGCATTTTCCACAATTTTTGCACAGATCTGTATATTTACTATATGTACATCATGCATACATGCGGATGTAAAACTGTGGAGACAGACATACAAACTGTAAAATTTTATCCATATCCGCTAGCTAATCTATACTTTTCACAACATGGTCTGTATTGTGCGTTTCTAACTTGGCGTCAGGTTTGAACTTTTTGCACACCAGTGAGTCTCGTTGCCCAGCGAAGTTTCTAACCATGACAGATTCACCCAACATGCGCTGTGCCCCATTTAAGCAATTCCCGGTAGTTGGACATGTGTAGGTGGTTCCATCTCTCTTTCACTGGCGATGCTGAGTTGGGGCATCTTTGCAGCCTCTCTGATGGTCCCACAGGGTCTGCTAAAGGAAGTGGAGAAGTTGGAATCCTATTTATTGTTGGGGAAGAGGTGTGGGAATTAGAACTCCGAGCTCCGTGCATGCCTCGACCCAGTCTGCATCCCACAGGCTGGTTCTGATTGGCAGATGAAGTGGTCAGTAGCCAGTGCTCCTACGGTTCCCCCCCACTCCCCGCCCCTGCCGGTCCTAGGAGCAGACTGTAGACGTTCTCTGGGAGCCTCCACCTCCAGTCCCAGCATGACTGGCCCGAGTCCCTTGCTTGACTGTCCCCTCTAGCCAGTCCCTGGGCCCCTTCCAGCCTAGCTCGTCTCTATGGGATCTCTCACTCACCCCTCACCTCCTTGCCCATCAGGTCTTGTCCTCCAGGTCTGAGGCGGACAGTCATATAGACCGATTTGCCCTATGGAGAGGAATTAGGGAAGAAGTCAAATCTGGGATCCACAGGAAACTGTAAGAATGTAGGAGAGTCCTGGGTAGATGAGAAGTCACTGCTTCTCTCCAAGCCCCCACATCCTGAAGGAACCTCAGGAGTAGGAGGTGATGAATCTAGAGGCTTGACTTCTACACCAAAAGTCCCCACACTTTTATTGATTTTTTTTGCTTTGTGATTAGCTAGCTTTCCCCCCATACTTTTAATATATCTGAGGTCTTAAGTTCTTGGAGGAAGATGCCATGGGTCGTAGGATGGTGGATTGTATGGCCAGGCCACCAAAAATGGCTGTTCTCTTGCCCTCAGTTGATCCCCTGCCCAATCAGCGCCTGATTCACCTACAGCCAGCTCACATCACTGACCTGCCTACGCTTGCTGCAGAACCCATGTTAAGCTGCTTTAGTTGTATCTGACTCTTTGCAACACTATGGACTGTAGCCCGCCAGGCTCCTCCATCCTTGGGACTTCCCAGGCAAGAACACCAGAGTGGGCTGCCATTGCCTTCTCCAGAGGATCTTCCCAACCCAAGGATTGAACCTGAGTCTCCTGCATTGCCAGGCAGATTCTTTACTGCCGAGCCACCAGGGAAGCCCCACTGAGATGATTGACTGACCCCAAATGCTTATGGTGCTGAGAATGGAAATCTTTGTCCCACTCTGTTCTTATAAGGAACGCTAGTCCCTTCCTCCTCCACAATGTGTGTCTAACCCCCACATCACCCTCCAGGGCAGTGTGACTCTTCACTTCCTCCAAGGGGGCTGGGAGGACGTGAGAGGAGGAATGATCTGCTCAAGGTCACCCATCCAGCTGGTGGCAAAGCTGAGTTTTGAACCTAGATTTTAATCATCTCCCCACCCAATCTCTTCCTCCTGCACAACTGACCTCTGCCACCCATTTCCCCAACTTCTCTTGGTAACTGGTGACTACCGTGTACCAGACACATGAGGGATGCTTGACACACACCCCTGTTATTCTCACACCTGCCCTTCTAGGTTGATCTTCAATATCTACACTGTAAATGCAAACAAACTGGGCTGAAAAGATGTCACTGGAGGAAACCTCACTGCTGTTTAGAGGCATGGCTGACCCCAGACCCTCATTCTCCCCTACAAGCCTCTGGTCCTTAAGACCTATTTGTTTGCCCAGATGACCCCTGACAGCCCCGTTCCTGGCTGATCCCTTCCCCATCCAGTTCTGCCTCCCCTTCTCAAGGGTGTGCTGGTCTTAGAGTCCCAGTCCCCAGCCAGTGTCCCACTCTGGGCCCAGAGCTATCGGTACCTGGTGGAGTAACATCTGATGAGGCCCACAAGGATGAGAGTAAAGAGGAGGACATAGCCCAAGATTGACCACGCCATGAGGAAGTCCAGGAGGAATGCTGACATGGTGATGCTTTGGCTAAACCCTAGAAGGAGAAGAAGCATGGAGGTCAGGACCACCATTCGCTCATCCCTCCATTCACCCACACATCTGTTCCTCGGAGACTCATGAGCCCCTACCACATGCAGGCACTGTTTCGGGTACTAGGGGCTCAGCCATGAACAGAACAAACTTCCTGCCTTAATGGGGCTGACATTCTAGCTGGGAAGTGCACAGTGGAGTACAAAGGAAAAAGATGTCCAATGTCATGGAGGGTAGAAATAAGTCTTCCAGAAAAGCTTGAGCTGGGGGCAGAGATCAGCAAGGTATAGAATGTGTTGGTTACACAGGGCCATGAACTTGTTCCACGGGGATTCACTCACTGAGCTCCACCTGTGTGCCTGGCGCCAGGCTAAGCACTGGGAGCAAATAGAGATTTAAGAACTTGCAGCCTCTGTTCCCTTGAAGTTTTATAGTCCAGTGGGTGTCAAATGGCATGAAATGCGGCATCATACATACACAAAAATTGTATCATTCAATGCTTAGTAAATAGTGCAGAGGGACTGAAATAAATGTCTCCAGCCCCTATTCAGTGTCCACTTCCCTCATTCCGAGCCAGACTGATGGCTTCTAGTGCCCTGTCTGATGTTCCTCGTGCAGCAACCCCATTGACTAGAACCCCCAAACTGCAAAGGGGGAAACTGGGGCTCAGAGGGGTGACGCTGCTGCGCCTGTTCACGCAGAAGGGCAGTGGCAGAGCTGGGATTTGATCTCAGGTCACTGGGCTCCAGAGCTCCTGCTCTTCACGGCCCTGCATGCCTGCTCTCTCCCAAGCCTGTCCATCTCTCTCTGTGGTGTAGAGGATTGGACGTGGGGTCCCTGAATAGGTGTCTCCCCCACGTGCAGACTCCTTCCTAACCAGCTTCAGAGGCCACACCATGGACAGCTCCCCACCTCCCCTGCACTGCCTCCCCTGGCGTGTTCCCACTTCCTCATCTCAGAGCAGCCCCGCGGATCTGTGGAGGGCAGAGGCTGTGAGGTCAGATGGCTAGGGTTTGAATCCTGCGTCCTCTGCCCATTAGAACTGGAGCCTTGAACAAAGCGCCCAAACTCTCTGTGGCTCCATTTGCTCACCCGTAGAGTGGAGGTGATGCTGATAAAGGTCACTTATTCTGTAGGGAGACTGGAGGGTCACCCAGGTTAGAATGGTGGCTACTGGCACAAAGTAAGTGCTCAGTCAGTGTTGACTGATCCTGCATCCCTGGAATTCACTCCAACTCTGATCTGAGAACTCTGGGGGCTTCATACAAGGGATAGTTAGGATTCAGACCTCGAAGGGTGGGGAGATTTCACCCGACAATTGTGAGCATGGCAGCACAAGGCAGAGAAGGCATTCCTGATGACAGGCACTGCCTAGGCAGAGGCACAGAAGTGGGGAGATTTGGAGAGAGCAAGAGGCCACTTCTGCACTCACGGGGGTGCTGGACCTGGACTTCCTCATGCAAGGTCAGCTGGGTGAGGTTGTTCTCCACGATGCACCTGTATCTGCCCATCTGGTCCCAGGTCAGACTCGGGAGGGTGATGTTCTTCTCTGAGAAGCTCAGGAGGGAGCCACTGTGGATACAGCGGTACTTGGATTCTGGTGCGCCATTGAAAACACACACCATCTCCACATGGGAACTAATCTCAGCAGGCAGGATGCCATTGTTGTTACCAGGCTCGCTGAGGATCATTACATAAGAGGGTCCATCTGCAGAGGCAGCGCAGGACACCTGTATTATGCTTCTGACCTCTGGGGTTCCCATCTCCTTCCCTCAATCATATGAAGTCTTCCTCCAGCCTGGAGTTGCCCCCGCTCTGCACCACAAGCAGACCAAGGCAGCTGGGCCAACAACAGTGACAATAATCATAGCATCTTCTGTTGTGGAGACTTACTACAAGCCAGCTGCCTGGCTGTCCTTCGTGTCATAATAAAACAGGTGTAGAATAGAAGTGGGCATCCTGCCCACTGCATGCTGGATGCTGTTCTGCATACTTTACACCTTCACACACTCAGTTAGTTCCCACATGACCCACGTGACCACAGCCACTCTTGATCCATTTCATAGACGGCGATAACAAGGCTCAGAGGAGAGGTTTAGGGATTCCCGAATCCCCTGCTGACCTACAAAAGGACCAGGCAAGTACCCCTATGAACTGGGAGGAATTTTCCTGAACATCTGCAGCCCCTGATCCTTGAGTTTGGTTCCACACCTCTGACCAGTGAGCTGTGTTGGAAGGTCAGAGACTGTCACCTCTGCGACAGCTTTCTTGGCACTGTGGCCACAACCCACAGGTAAGGAAATCTGAGAGCCTGCAAATGCAGTTGCAGATTTAAATAGGAAATGATTCTAGACCTGGGTTGAAAGAGATGCAAGAACTGAATCAATCTGGACAATCTCGGAATATTTCAAAGACTCTGAGTTTCATTGCAATTCTGAGTTCAGTGTCTTTGATTTGCAAGACCTGTTTGAGAATTTGGAGAGAGCAAGAGGCCACTTCTGCACTCACGGGGGTGCTGGACCTGGACTTCCTCATGCAAGGTCAGCTGGGTGAGCTTGCCAACTTGCATGGTTGGGCAGCAGAGAGGTTATAAAAACAGAGCATGTATGCAATGCCTACCTTATTTTTTTTAATTTATTTTAAAACTGAAGGATAGTTACTTATGATGATTTTTATGCCATATATCAAGATGCATCAGCCGTGTGTCCCCTCCTCTTGATCCCCCCACCTCCGTGGGTAGAACCCATGCCATCCCTCTAGGTTGTCACAGAGCATCGTCTTTGGGTTCCCTGTGTCATACACCAACTCCCTCTGGCTCTCTATTTTACATATGCCTACACCTTAGTTTTAAAACTGAACTCTTTAAGGGAGTGTACTCAATTCCATCCCATTAAAAAGAGTGAAGATAATTTTGCTTTCTATGAAGAACTCAATAAAATGATCTATGAGCTGATTTGGAAGGCTCAGGGAAAGCTGGGTTTTGAAAACTTAAGAACTGGAAAGCCAAAGTAAGAGACAATTGGTTGTAGGCCGGTACATTTTTACACAAAAGACAGATATCCACAAAAATCATATTTATAATCTGAGAAGTAGAGTTGAGGGGCCCCATTTTAGAATGAGTGAACCAGGGGTCTGAGCAGTAAGGATACTTCTGAAGTGCAAAGATTTAAACAGCCAGACCTGGGATTTGAACCCAGGACAGCTCTCTGCAGAGCATCTCATGCCACTCTCACCAGTTCTGCCTGTCTTGTGGCCATGTCCTTTGAAAACCCTGATGCCACCCTTGGCTTCCCTCTCATGACCCCAGAACACTCACAGGCCATCGTCAGATAGATCAGTTCACTTCTCTGAGTGACAGTCCCTAAGACAATTTTGACCCCACACTGCAGCGGCGAGTCGTAGTTCTTGACCCTTTTGATGATGACAGTCTTTGTGTCTGGGGAGATGGCCGTGCGTTCAGAGCTGGACACCAGTGTGTGAGCCACATACCACTGGACATCGGTGTTGTTGGTGTGGCAGATGGCAACCACGGAGTCCACATCCTCTAGCACGATGCTGGTGTTGACTGAGATGCCCGGGATTTCAAACTCTGGGTGAAAGAGGAAAGAGAAGATTAAGAGTTTGGATCTGACTCTCCAACCTCCGCTCCTCTCCGTAGGGAGTTTCAGGGTATCTTGGGGGAGAAGGCAAGACTTGTCAGATAGGATCTAGAATCCTGGCAGGAGGTATCCCTGGGGCTAAGAGGGTCAGAGGAGAAGGGAGTGGGCAAGAGGCAGTCAAGATGCAGGCCATCACCCGAGCCCATCATCCAATGCTCTGAGCCATCTCTATGGCTCTCTTTCAATGATGGTTAGTTCTTCCCACAGGTGTGTAGCCATATGATTCTTTCTGAACCTTCAAACAGAAAACTCCCATCCAAGGATCCACAGGTTGAATTCAGAGTGAGGGATGTTCTTTGCTTTCCATAGCTATTCCTCCCATGATCTGAGTCCCATTCGCTTTACAAATACTTCCTCCAACCTTACAACAGACCACAATGGGGGTAGAACCTGCCCCCATTCTATAGATGAGAATACTGAGGACCAGAGAGGGAAGACAAAGGCGATTTGGTATACATAGAGTCAGAGGTAAGCAAAGTTCTTCCAGTCTTCAGAATCCACACAGTCCAGCCCTAGCTCTGTGGAGCCCCCACTGTGGAACTCACTGGAGTAGACAGAATTCCAGGATGACTCCATGATCTCCACTGCCTGGTATAAGCCCTGTATAATCCCATCCCCTCAGTGCCGGTGGGACCTGTGACTTTCTTGTAGCCTATAGAAGATGGCGAAGGTGATGGGCTGTCCCTCCCATCGTCTGACTGTGTGTGCTCAGTCGCTCGTTCATGTGCGACTCTTTGTGGCCCCATGAACTATATTAGCCTGCCAGGCTCTTCTGTCCATGGAATTCTTCAGGCAAGAATACTGGAGTGGGTAGCCATTTCCTCCTCCAGGGGATCTTCCTGACCCAGGGATCTAAACTGCATCTCCTGGGGCTCCTGCATCGGCAGGCAGGTTCTTTACCCACTGAGACACCTGGGAAGCCCCAGTAGCCATTGTTATATAAGACTCCTTTTCAGCAGTCTAGAGACAGATACCGTTTTTAACCTTGAAGAGGCAAAGAGCCATGATGTGCAATCCTGTGGACGGAGTTACCCATGGGAACACAGCATTAGCTGACACTTTGTGAGTCTCAGCACAGTAAATGTCTGAGCCACGCTCAGACTTGTGACTCACAGAAGTGGGTGTCCTTTTAAGCTACTAAGTTGGAGGCTGTTGGTCATGCAGCAGGAGATAACTAATACACTGAGAGGGAACCTGGAGCCCTTGAAAGTACTGAGGGTCCCGTCTCCAAGGAGAAGCTAGATGGCCATCCGCTGAGGCTCCCAGTGTCATCTGGAGGCAGGTGGAGACTGGACAGTGTGAGGTCCGAAGGGCACCACTCCCCAAACCTCCAGTCCAACTCAGCACAGTTAGACGGGGGGCAGCTGCCCACTCACCTGGAACCTCGAGCCAGCCAGTTGCTGTCTGGGTGTCACTGATGGCAGCCGCCCGCACGGTGTAGTTCCCTGTGTCGTTTAGTCGAGACTCTTCGATCAGCAGGGCACCAGTAGGAATCACGCTTTCCCGGCCAGTGCACATGGGCCCCTTCTGCTGGGAATGAGATGTGGCGTTGTAACTGATAACCAGATTTTCCTCAGTGTCATTTGCACCCCGGTGTCAGCTGTATCCCTGAACATCTTCAGGGGCATTCTCGATGACCAGCAGGCTCTGTCGTCCTACCACTCCTGTGAGTGAGGTGATGTCCATCTGGGCCGAGCCCTGGCAGATCCCACAGACCAGCAGACTGGCTGAAGAAGTCAACGAGAAAAAGACACACACACGTGGATTTACAGCTGTAGGCAATGATCTGCAGAGATTCTCATGAACAGGTCAAGAGCTTCTAGCTCCCGAAGGACTCATCAGTCTGACCCCTCCTCCCCATCTCCTCAGCCCCTGCCTCGACCCATTCTTTTCTGATCCTTTTCCATGCTGGCCTCCTCCCTGGACACTCAGCCTCTAACATCTTCACGTGAAAGTTTTGTGGATCCTTTTAAAGTTCTTCTGGTGACCGTGCTCTCCGCCCCCCCCCCACCCGCTCCAGTATCTTCCGTGGCTCTCCAGTGCTCTCAGGATAAAGTTCAAACCCTTAGCATGGCTTTTGAGACATTCTTTGCGAGAACGAGTGTTGAGAACCCAACTAAACCCTTTTTGGATCACATCTACCCTACCGCATCACCCCAGGCACTCCCTTACATTCATTCATTTGTATATTCACTTCTCAGGAGATGCTGCATCCAGGCTCTGTGTCCCAATCACACATACAGCTCTCTCTTGACCCACCACCTCTCTCTTGACTTCAGGCTTCTGCACTTGCTCTTCCACATTTCTGGTACCCTGACCCCTTGTCTTCCCTCCCCATCTGCATCTTCCTGTTTAACTCACATCCTTTCATCTTTCAGGGTTCAACTTTGATGTCTGCTCCTCTGAAGCCTGGGTCAGGCAGCCTCTCCCTGCTCCCCTCACTCTGAGCCCTCTTATTTCTTCCCCCGACATGCAGGGTTATCAGAGTCTAATGGCAGATCTCCATCCTTCACGAGACTGAGTCTGGCTGCGTTAGTCACCACTGCCTCCCCAGCCGCCCTGAGCACAGGGTGGAACTCAGCACAGGGGCTCGGCATGGTTATCTGAGCAGATGAATCTCCCCCCAAGACTCGACACCTACCTTTTATCTAGCATCTAAGTTCAGTGGAGTGAACTTGAACGGAGGTGAGGATGTGTTTTCTTTCCAGAGTGTCTGCTGCTCTGGGAACCCTAAGCCTTGGTTCCATGGAGGAAGCAAAGACAGCTGAGACCCCCCTGCTCCAGGGCTCCAGGTGCAGACCCCGGAGGTGTTGGAGGACAGTATACATGGCCACCAGGGAAACATGTTAGCGTTAGTCGCTCAGTTGTGTCAGATTCTTTGAGATCCAGTGGACTGTAGCCCACCAGGCTCCTCTGTCCATGGGAGCATACAAGGGAGAAGGCAGCATAGAGTCCCAGTGAAAGTGAGGAATTTGAAAGGGTGGAGTTCGTGAGGTAGCAGAGAGGGTCAGGGTAGCTGGGAAACTCAGAGGAGGTGATTGGGGTGGTGAGCACTAGGGTCTAAGTGCATCACTTCATGGGGTGGGTAGAAATGAATGCTATGTGTGTGCGTGTGTTTGTGATTTGGGCGCGTTGTGCCCATGTGTTCATGAAAGTTCTGCTGAGGGTCCTGGGTCACTCCCTTCTCCCCCTCCTCTGTCCTGCTGCCCCGCTCTCTTACCCACAAGGACCAGTTCCTTCCAGAATCTGCACCTAGGGCTGGAAAAGTCCATGAGCCGCTCCAGTCCTCCTGCTGGAGGGATCTCTCCAGGGACCCGGCCGTCTTCTGGGCCCTTTTACAGACCTGCGTCCTCTCAGGCCCTGAGCTGTGGTCTCTACCTGCTTCCTGCTTACGGATGGACTCTGAACCGCATGGTGGGAGGGGCTGGGGAGGAGACACTCATCTTAGTGGGTCATTGTCTTTAGGACTTCATGCCCACATGGAAGGACCTAGGACACGTGGCAATGTATAATATCAATGACCATTGTGGGAAACGTTTGATCTTCCCAACTGACTTTCATTAAAATCAAATCAAACCACTTGTGCTCAAAAAAACAATGAACAGCATCACTCATCACCTAGTTGTACAAGGATTCAGTCACTACCTGCTGCAGTCTCTCATCACAGTGCACCTTGAGAGGAATTCAGGAGGAAAAAACAGGATAAGGCACTTTATGTTTTGAATAATCAGGTCCCTAGATGCACAGCTCAGGGAGAATTTCAATGACCCCAAACTTTTGCATCGGTCACATGCAAAAAAAGCACTAAAATCATTAACTTGAGGTATCTGTTCTTTGTGATGAGCAATAATCAGTTATCAAGATGTATGTTTAATGACACATCTTTCCCAGCCCCCAAATTCAAATATACACTGGCTCCTCATCTTCCTTTTTGGAGCAGGTCCTCAGAGATGTCTCCTAGGCTATAGTCCTCAGGAAGACTCCAAATAAAACTTAGATGCTCTGTGTTTTTCTTTCAGTCAGCATCCTTTAATTTGCTTTAGTCATTCAAACTTATTACCCTGATACCTCCAACTTATATCAGTTAGTTCATATGCTTGTCAGGGAATCCACCATTGGGTGGGTTTGTCCAGGAACTTGAAGCAACAGACAACATTGTTATCCTCTGACACTCTGTTATTCCCAACCCTCATGTATGATGGCCATCCATTCCCACTGGCAGTATATCTTTTTCCTCATCCTGGATTTGCAGTCATGGTCCTCATGGCTTCAGAACACTCCGGATCCCTCGGGTTCCGTTTCTCTGGAGAATCCTGATTAAAGCTCGGGGATCCTCACCCACACAGACTGAATCCCCAGCCTATGTTCTCATTCTGTTTCCTAATAACCCAAATGTACCATTCAGGTCAAATATCCACTCTCTGTATACACATTTCTCTGTATACGTCAGTTGAAAATTAACTATTAATTACATTGGGACACCCTAGCAAACATTCACAGAAGCACAGTTCTCTTTTTCTAGCTCTCAGTCAAAGACATGAGCCTGGTGTTGCTATGACTCAAAGGGAAGCCAGGTGAGGAAGCTGGGAACCCGTGACAGGGGCTGCGATCCCCGTCTCAAATCTTCACGATTTACATCTGGAAGAACTTCTCAAGGCAGCTCACAAAGGCTTGTCTCTGAACAAGGACTAGACTTGCCTTCTCCTCTCAGAATCACTTATGTAAGTGATTCCCTCCCCACTTCCCCTGGGTGCCACAGGGCAGTCCTGGGATGGACTCTCCTCGGTGGGCGGCTCCAGGCAGCGACAGGCAGAAAGCCACATCCACTCTTTCCTTTCTCTGTTCCCTGCGCTCCCTGGAAAAAAATCTCATCCCTCCTCAAGACAAATGTCCCTGTTTACGTGGCGTGGCTTGACCACCGTCCAGCCCC